TAAAAATGTGCACTTCCTATTTGTCCCTGTTAATATTTTATGGAAAAAAATAAGTAATTTAGCATTTATATTTTAGATATAAAAAGTTCTAAATATTTAAAATATTATTATATGCATTTAAACATTTTTATTGAGTTGTCGTCTCTACCTTTCTCTGTCTTTGCCCTATGCTTGGCCTGATTTATGCTAGGTTTAGATTTCTTTTGTCAATATTCTTTTCATCTCTCTTGTATTTCTATCGTTGCATTGTGTCATGTCCCATCATCATTTTAGTATATGAGCAAGTTTTGCTCCTTTGTCCCAATTTGTTTTGTGTTGATAATTTGTTTTCTACTATTTTCATGTTATCATGTTGTTTGTTCCTTTATAGTATTAAACAAATTATATTTTATCTTTTGGTGACTTATTAACTTTGTAGCGGAACATTCCTAAAACATGCATTGCAAATGGTTTTTTTTTTTAAACAATTTTTGCAACTTCCATATTTATTTTAATTTCTGTAAGATTTATTATTTGAAACCGTTTAGTACTTTGATGATAACCATAAGGTCCTCTTCGGTGGTGATATAGTCGTTGGCTAGTTCCAAGACCTCGCTAATGATCTTGGTTTGAGTAATTTCAGGTCGTACCTGAATCATTTGCTTTAGATTCGGTACGGGCTATGAGAAGCTCTAGGTTTTTCACTTCCAATATTTCCTTAATGTAAGCCCACAAGCTCTCATTCTCTCTCTGCTTGATCTGGGGAAGAGTCTTAGTATCTTTCCTTGGTTTCTTCTCGTCGGCGAAGTCCACCAAAAAGAGCCTTATGAATTTGTAGAAGGTTAAGATGATTCCATTTGGCAAGCTATTGAATCACCTGAGTGCGACCTCCTTTAGCATGGTCAGGAAAATTCTATACTTCATAGCGTCATTGATTTGCAGGACTCCCAACCGATAACTCGAAAGAAGCTAAATGGTCGACCGGGTTACTCCTCCACTTGTAAGGATCCAAATAAGGAATCCTTAGCTTCGCTGGGGGTATGGTATGTAGGATTCACCGGTAGAAAGCGCTGCCTGCAGTCGGCCGGATGGGTGCTCCCTGATTCGCCCGGTGCCTAATGATCGCCACACTATCCGCGAGTTGGGAGTCTCCCTGCCCTTCGGTTGGTCGATCGTTAGCTTGATCATTGGGCGCGGGCGAATTATCGCGAAGAACTCTTTGGGAGCGAGTTCCCTGAGATTTTCCTTCCAAAAGCGGAGGTTGATCGCCCCTCCGAGTCATCACCGCTGGCAGGGCTTCAAATTGGTCCATCATCCGCATGCGTAGTGCCTGGACCTCTTTCTGAATGTCTCGATGCACCGTCTTTCTATTAAATTCCATGGATGCTATGCCTCTCTGTGGGGTTTCTCTTTCGTAATTTGCTCCACTTCTCGTCTGGGGCATGTTCACGCTCACTGCACCAACTTTTATGATGTTGAATCCTAAATTATCTTTCGGAAATGCACACCATGAGAGGTAGAGCCAAGTGAAAGGGGGGGAAGAGAGACTTGAGCAGTTAGATAATTCTGAGTAGAGAAGTCGGGGAATAAAATCCCCTTTATTCATCTTCTTGCTCCATATATATACGAACCTATTTGTACAATTATAAAAAGGAGGGAATGGTTATGAAAACTACTCTTTATGCAAATAATGTGCTGATTTAATACTAATTTTGCATTACAATTTGAATGGAATATGACTGCTATCAGTTAATCGACATATTCTAGTTCAGTCGACCGAGGCGACCGGTCGCGTGGCGATCGCTCCTGCCGAGGTAAAGTCGGTCGACTAATTGTTGTCGGATGTCTTTGCAAGAAGTCTAAGTAGTTGGGACTGTATGCATGGTTTGTCATTAGATTCACCGACATTGTATGTCGGTCAACTCGATTGAGCAGTCGGATGTCAAATGGCTGATTCAGGTTATGCTCTTTTAGCCCGACGCTTCAATTATCCGGCCACCATCTTTGGCTGTTTGATTGTTTTGAGATTCTTGCAGACAGTTTTGGTGCATACAGAAAAATATCTGGCTGAAATTGCAAACAGGAGGTATTTGGGGGGAAATCACTATCCCGCAATCGTGGGAACTCAAATTTCCACTGTTCCACAGAAATCCTGAACCCATGAGAAGCCTCGCACTCCTGTCAATTCTAGCCCATATTTATAAAGATTTACTAAAGCCTAAGCTTCACCTAACTTGACCCTCAACATCCTCCATATTTGTTGGTTTTCGGCCAAAAGTGATAACTCATGTTAAAGTGATGCTTTTTTTCAGATGTGTTAAATTCGAACACCTCTTTCATTTGATCTTTCATCTTCTAGTACCTAATTAATTCTAATCCTAAACCCAAAGCTCTGCATGCTTTCTCCCTCTTACCCTAACTCTTTGCCCTAATCTCCTTAATAATTCCTAATTCCGAGACAAATACGACCATATCCCCAAATTCTTCAAGTCTTCTTCTATTTACCAAGCTTCACATAAATCTTGTCAGACTTCCTCTCCACATAGATTGCAAATTTTTTTCTTAAACAACCAAGCTTGAAAGATTAACAACTTCTATTCTTTCAGTATCTTCCATCTTATCTTATGATTGTCGTTTTTTTTTCACAGCATTCTTTACTATTGGTTATCATAATTGTTTAGCTCAGTGATTCCTATTCACCACTTGTTTCTATTGAGTATTTTGTGTGGTTTTAAACTTCTTTGTATGCCTTTTGGTTTAACTTTAATTCATGCTACCTTTGGTCTTACCCTTTTCTTTCCTAATACTTTGACGTTAATTTTATTAAATTGCATTTTTTTTTGTAAGATTAATATTTATAATATTTATTCTATTTTGTGGTGTTAAACTTTGGTAGGCATAATCTTATAATCTTTTCAAAGCTTTTTCTTTCATTCTGACTTGAAAATAATTTTTAATTACTTGTGCTTTCGATTTTGAAAGTAAGAAGAATTATTCTTTTTCATCTTTGATTATATGTTTTTCTTTTTCTATTACAAGATCATAAACTATCGTGAAATCAAGTATAGCTTTCCCCAACACATTTTTATCTCTAATTTCTTTCCACCGTGCATATTCATAGCCCATTCGACTAGTGCTTACATGTCTAATTAAATCATAACCAATAAATGTCCTCTATATTTATACATGCTTTGCAAATGATCTATCTATATTTTTCCCTAATTGACATTTGTAACTATCTTTTTATCTAGCTTGAGGAGCACATGCACTAGTTATATTTATCATGTCTTTACATATATTTAGTAAAATTACAATCACTTTGTTTATAATTATATTTACCATAACAAATTTTTCTTTCAATTTAATGGTGCTCAATGATAACACATGGATGTTCTTTTTTATTTGATTCTTTATATTATTTAAGGAGACAATTGATTAATGAAAAGAGCATTTTGTATATTAATTGAATTAGGGACTTGGACATATTAGATAGATTGAGACTTCAACTTTTTTTAAGGCTTAATAATTTAAATAGATGTGCAATCTCCTTCCCACTATAATAATTAAAAATTTAACAAACAATGTGAGTGCTTCACTTCTTATGTTGTTTATAAATGATATAGTTTATTTTTGTCAATTATGCATTTATAATTACTTCAGGGGCTATTTGGTTTGTTAAAAATGAAATGCAATGTAAAAGTTTTACAGAGCACTATCATTACCATGTATTTGAAATACTTTAGTTATTTTGTTCACTGTGAAATAAACGTAGGACTTTATTTTTTTATTTGGATTGAAGTAGACTGAAAACAATGTATTTCAAGATATATTTTTTTGTCTAGTGGCAGCGAGAAAGGGGGGTCTGCAGGCTTCTAGCGACGATGGGTTGGTGGACGACAAGAGGATGGCCGGCGGCTGACAGCAGACGATGGACAGCCGGCGGGTGACGACCG